AAATTTTTATTCAAATTCTATATTTTAAAAATAAAAAATTAAATTGAATTTATTAAAATTAAAAAATATATATATCTTTAACATTTTGATTACTGGCCATATCCCTACCCGTCATGGCCGTTCCTACATAAAGAAGCTCCATGCTTGCTTACAGCTGCCCCATCCTTGGGCATTCCTTCTCTCTGAACACTCTTCCATCAATCAGAATTGAGCTTTAGCCGCCCATTCCGTGGAGCTGCCCACCTAACCGACCCCTTTGCCCACACCCCCTTTTTTTTAATTGCAGACTAAGAATTAAATTTTAAATTTATAAATAAAAATATAATTAATTTTATTATCACGTCGCATTTCCCTATTATCTCCTATTAATTTGGTTGATTTGATATTTTGAAAGATAAGAAACGTTAAATGGTCTACCCCAAAATTTGAGTGTACATGCCACTTCTTGTTGAGAAAATCCATTCAGTGATTTAAAAAAAATAAAAATGGAATTATAGGTAAAACTGGAATGTATTAAAATTTTAAATGCATGTCAATCGTGCCAAAACTTCCCCAACATTGCTCTTTACTGTTAAAAATGATAAGATATTTTTTAATGATAACTATTTATACTCATTTATAATTGACTGGCATTTGTTGTGCACCTTGTGTTTCGGCAGCTTCACAATCCAACACTGTTGAAGTTCTCAGCTGCTTCTATACCTGAAAATCCCGAGGATGTTTCATCGGAGAAAACACTCCAACGCTCAAGTCAGCAATACTCAATATTCTAGAGAGAGATGTTCTCAAGGAGTAATTGCAGAGAGAGAAGCATAGAGATTAATTACCTTCATCGGAGGTAGTTGGGGGGTATTTATAGTCCCTTGGTGCTGACATACATCTGCACGTGCAAGCATCCCCTCGACCCACGTGTCATTGGTCACGTGGGTATGCTTGTACTGATGCTCCTTCAGCTTGGGCTAATAGGTGGTAGCCCAGGTCCATTATGCACAGTCCTGTTTGGGGCGTTGGGCCTGTTGGGCCTATACCAACATTACTCCCCCCCCAGTGTTCGGTTGACGAACTGGGATGGGTGTAGCCACGGGCCAACGTTGTTGGGCCTATACCAACATTTATTCCAAACGGGTTGACAGCTTGCGGTCGACCTCGACGAGGGCCGAGCTGAAAGGTAAAACAAGGGGCGAGCTCGCGAGTCTGAAAACGTGTGGGCGAGCTGGTATTCATAGCCACATTAGTGTGGGTTCGTATGGTGGCGAGCTGAGGTGATTCGTAACAGGCGAGCTTGCGTGTGATGTAACGCCCGATCAGCTCGTCCATGTGACGACCTGACCTTTAAGTACTACCGAAGCGCGACCAGGTGACGCTCAGTTAGCTATGATCACGGGGTGAGGCGATGCGATCTCATATTCAATGCGACTTGAATTTTTTGACCACCACTTTACCAGCCCGCACGCGTGGTGCTGCTAAGTAGGGCGACCTGGGCCACCCATTGATTTATGCGAAGGTTTGTGGCCTGTGTAAGCTGCAATCCGTGTGACGATCTGACAAATGTGGTTGTCGTCACGGTGTGTGACGAGCTGAATCATGGGGGGATTTTAGCAAAAAATCTACACTGTTGAACGAACTGTCACGGATGAGCCGATCTGGCAAAATGTCATGTTTGTAACGACTTGGCAAGTGTGCTCGCAATGGCGAGCTGATGTGACAGTAGTAGGTACACATCAGCAGTGACGATCTGAATCTTGGATTTTTTGAATCAAGCAGATCTCTGAGGAGATACGGTTGATCTCCCCGTATCCCTTTGTCTTCCCCGTCATAAATGCTGGCTCAGCATTTGAGGGACGTGACAGCTAAAGTCGGCGCACGTTATGCAGAAGGGACGTTAAGCGTGTGCCACGTGTATGAAGCGAATTGGCGCGTCAGAAACACGCGTACGACAATTAAACACTATCATATCCTTCTCTACGTAACCGTTTCCTCTTTCATTTTCATTTCTGTGTTTGCTTAAATTTCCTAAAATTCTCTGAAGCGGAACCGCTCCAGCTTGAAGAACCAGCACATCGAATCAACTTCACATTCAGTTTCAGGTAAAAATGGTTTCATTAAGAGAACTTACAGAGCAACGAGGTAACCAGGGCAGAGAGGGGGAAGAGGAAGGGATTTTGTCAGTGGAGCCTATCACTATGATAGTGCCGCCGGAGTTGCAGGATATACCGAAAACAGTGGCGTCTGAGACCAGCGCCGGTTCCAGCGCCAGCGACAACGGTGGCGACCCCCCCAGTGCACCGTCCAGCAGTTCGTCTACTGAGGAGACACCCAGCCGTGAAGAAGGGGTGGGGGATTTGGTGAGCAGTGTCTCAGATCGGCCGATGATTGGGGAATGGGAAGGTGCGATGATCCCGGGCAGGTTGAGTAACCTCCGCAAAGCACCGAAGGACCTGCCCGCTGGATTCAGGTTCAAGGCTGCACTTCATCACGAAGTAGCAGATTGTGCGCCCTCCATAAGCGGATATAAGAGGCTCGAGGAGATGGTGAGGGCGTACCATATCCCTAAAACCATACTGCTGCGGACTGGCGGGCAGAACGAAGGGGCGTGCACGGTGTCGCGAACAGGCTGGATCCCAGTGTATACGGACCACTTTGACGCCGGCCTGCGGTTTCCCCTACCCGGCCTGGTATTCGATTTGCTCGCGGAGTACGAGCTGGCGCTGACGCAGCTAACGCCCAACAGCATAAGGTTCATCATGGGCTTTATGCTGTTGTGCGCAACATTGGAGGTGCCAGCTAAAGCGATAGTGTTCAGGTTGCTATTCCAGTGCCGGTTGTGCCCAAACTCACAAGGAGCGAGGTGGTACTACCTCTCTGGGAGGGATAAGAGCCAATTGTTCAAGAATGTCCGGAACAAAGTGGCGAGATGGAAGAGGCAGTTCGTATTTGTTCGCGACACGCGGACAGAGAGGATAAGCAACGACCTCGCTGCTCGGCTGTCAGAATGGCGAACTCCGAACGCCCACATCAACTACCCCCAGCTGTTGCCCCGGGATGTCGACCTGAAGAACCAACTGCTTCAGTATGCGCAGGGGGAGGGTCTTATAGATTTAGAAGCCCTGGTTACCTCGGAGCAGCTTGCCGTGTTCGGGCTTGTCGATGTGACAAACCTGTTCAGCGAAGGTATATTTTCATCATATATCATAGATTCTAGCCGAGCTGAGGCTTATGCATTTGTTTGTGCAGGTGAAATGAGCAGCATATTGGAACGTCAGCGCCAACGTGCCCAGAGCTCCCGAGGTCGTGGGGCGAGCAGCGCGCAGCCCCGGCAAACACGGTTTGACGAGCGGCCACCCCCAGCGCCTCAATCGCGCGGCTCGTCACACCGGGGGTCTAGCTCGGCTTCAAGGCCACGAGCAGAGCATCGAGCTGAGGCTTCAGCTCCGAGCGAGCGCAGGCGCGCACGCGAGGAGACGGAGAGTGAAGATGAGGTCCCCCTTGCTAGGCGCATAAGAAGCGGGGGGACTCAGCCCGCGCAGGCGACTCGTCCTGTAACAGTGCGTTCACCGAACGCACCGTCAGCGACTGTGCGGGCAGCAGTGGAGCCCGCCTCTGCACTGGCCTCGACATCCGGCCCCAGGATTGCTTATCCTGAGGGCTTCAGCTATGTGCGGGCAGAGTGTCAGCCTGCCATGGTGCAAGCCATGCACAGCTTTGTGCCCCCTATGGATAACAAGCGGGCCAAATCTTTTGTGCAGCAGCATGGCGGCCAGGTCGCCATGATAAAACTTATGGATGTAAGTATCTGCTCATATCTGTTTAAGTGTTTTACTTTTCCTTACTAGGTACTTACGATTGTTGTTGTTTGGCAGGCATTCAGCTATGCTGTGGCTATGTACGAGAGTGAGCAAGCGGCTCGTACACGGAACAGCGAGCTCGGTTCCAAGTGCAAGCAACTAGCTGCTGAGAAGGCCAGCCTTGTGGATGATGTGAATCATCTGCAAGGCTCTGAAATGGCGAACCGAGCTGCGACTGCGGAGAGCCGGGCGGACGAGCTCGCCAACAAGAACAACGAGCTTAGGGAGGAGTTGGCGCGAGCTCGAGCTGAGAGAGAGAGCGGAATACAAGCGGCAAGGGATGAGGCCGCCAGGGCTGATGAGAGGGCAAAGAAGGCTGAGGCCGACAGGGATCATGCTCAGCACGAGCTGAGCTCTCTTAGGCACCAAGTCGCCGAGGCGGACCGAAACCTTGCTGCTACCGGGGAGGCTCTGAACGAGCTGAAGGCTTCCCATGCCCGTTCTGTCGCCATCGCCCGGGCTCAAGGGGCGGAATGGTTCGTAGGCTCGGCTGCGTTTCAGGACGCCGTGGCGGTGGCGTCGGCAAATGTAACCACGGAGATCTACAATGAGATTCGTGGGAAAGTACTGTAACACCGCCCGAATTTTCCAATACGTGAGCTGGTCTTCTTTGACGAGGAGGAGCTAGACGAGCAGGGTAAGAGCCTTGCTCCCCTCGCTGATGCAACTGTGAGGCTGAGATGGGATTTGAACGAGGAGGGCGTGCCCGTCTGGCCACCGTCCATTCTGGAGGACGGGGAGGACCCAGTAGGACTGCCCTCATTTGATGCATGGGTAGAGGGTGCTCCTGTAGCTGAGCAGGAGCCTTCAAGCACCCCACCCAACTCTCAGCCCGCTGCTGCGCCCTCCAGCTCACCCGTCAACGCGCCAGCCTCCGAGCCCGCTGCCCGATCTCCACCAGCTCGCTCTCCGATCTCCACCAGCTCGCTCTCCTGCGGTTGTTGCTGATTCATCCATGCCCGTCGATCTGACGGATGACTAGGCTTAGGACTTTTTGTTTCATTTTTTGTATTTTTGCTTTGGCATTTTTGTATTTGATCAACCAGATTCCGATCGTATGTACTTCTAATGTAACATCATTGATGAAATACAAAAATGAATTTTCTTTTAAATCTCTGTTGCATTTTCTGTACATGTTTGTGTACAACTGTTGGATAGCACCTTAAGCGAAATAACATAACACACGTTAACTGTAAAACTTCCTAAGATTCTGTACATTCCAAAGGTAAGGTAACTGATGCCCGTGTATATCTGCTAACACGTAAGAGCCAGGTCGCTTAACCCGAGCTACCATATAGGGGCCTTCCCAATTAGGAGCGAGCTTACCCATGTGCGAGTAAGTGTTTGTCAATCCAGCTTTGCGTAGAACCAGGTCGCCAACTTGAAACTGGCGAGCTCGAACCCTTTTATTGTAAAATTTTGCAACGCGATTTTGATGTGTCATGTTTCTTATTCGTGACATCTCCCTGATTTCTTCCACAAAGTCCAGGTTCTCCCTTAAGAGTTGTTCATTACTCTGATCGTCATGGCGATCTGATCTATCGGATGGCAATCCAACCTCCACTGGGATGACGGCTTCAGCTCCATAGGCCAGGCTGAAAGGGGTTTCGCCTGTGGCCGAGCTGGGTGTGGTGCGACAAGACCAAAGCACTTTATTGAGCTCGTCAACCCAATTAGAATGTGTAGCCAACACTCATGCCTTGAGGCCTCGCAAGACGATTTTATTGGCGGACTCGGTTTGCCCATTGGACTGTGGAGTGTACACAGATGTCAAGGCGAGCTCAATGCCATAATCGTTACAAAACAATCTCAACGCCGTTGCTCGGAACTGCGGCCCATTGTCGGCGATAATCCGCTTAGGTATGCCGAACCTGCACACAGATTAGCGAGCTGAGCTACAGATCACATTTGTATATATTTTATGACCTCGGTCACCAAAGAATACCTGCACAATACTGAATTGAACAAGAATTCTTCTATTTTTCTTTCTGTTGTCGTGGATAATGGTTTAGCTTCTATCCACTTAGTGAAGTAATCCACTGCGACGACCAGGAAAGTGCAGCCTCCTTTGCCTTTAATGAAGGGGCCGAGCAGGTCGACACCCCATTGGGCGAAGGGCCAGGGAGACGTAAGAGATGATAGCATTTCCCCTGTTTAAAGGAAGGCACTCATGCTCAGTTCAGAGACAGTCACTAAGTTAGCATAAACTATTGGACGAGCTCGGGTACCTGGCATGTGAATATCATCAGCATTGAACTGGCAGGTCGGGCACTTTTTGACATAATTCTGTGCATCCTCGACCATAGTGGGCCAGTAATAACCATGCCTTAGGAGCTTCCGGGCTAAAGTTCTGCCACCGATGTGCGTGCCACAAACTCCCTCGTGAACTTCTCTCACGGCATATTCAGCTTCATAAGGAGTAAGGCAGCGTAAGAGGGGCATTGAGGCTGCACGTTTGTAGAGATGGTTATCTAACAAAGTGAAATGTGCTGCCCTTCGTTTAATCGATTTCGCAGCGGACAGATCTTCAGGCAACTCGCCACTTTGCAGATAATTTATGAGTGGTGTAGTCCAGCTCAGTGTAGAGGGATCTGTACTGAGTAGTTGACAGTCGACTGTGAAATCAGTGTAGCTTGGTGCATCAAGCACCTCGACGATTGTTGATCTTTGAGGGTTAATGTCCTGCGAGGAGGCCAACTTTGATAGCTCGTCAGCTCGGTGGTTATCTGCCCGCGGTATTTTGTCGATCTGAAATGAAGCGAACCTTGACTTCAATCTGTTGACCACAGAGGCATAACG